GTAATTTTCCGGTTAGGTTAAAATGGTTTGATTAAAAATATTGCTTAAATATGGTTTGGTTAAAAATTAGTCTTGGTAAATCTGGTTAGTTGTGTAGACTTCTATGTTCGTCTACGACGCGTAATTTTCCGGTTAGGTTAAAATGGTTTGGTTAAAAATATTGCTTAAATCTTGTTAGGTGTGTAGACTTCTATGTACGTCTACGACGCTATTGTTTTACTGATTTATTTTTTGAATAATAGTTTTAATGTATGATACTTTTTATTGTTTTGGACCCAATATATTTGTTTCACATTTCAAAGTTAAGAACTACTATTATTTTGAAATAGTGATTTCCAAATAATAGTAGACTACAAAGAACGTCTACTTACAATAAGTAGACATTATTGTAAGTCTATCATTTTTTGACCCTAAACCACAAATTCCAAACCCTAAAAATTTCTTCTTAATCAATAAGTCTCAAATATTATACCAAATGTCAAGATATACAAAATATAAACTACTCAACATTAATATGTAAATTTAAGTCAATAGTAACAAATGAAATCTAAAAACAAAATCTAGCCCTAAGAATCTAACCCTAAAATACATCACATGGTAGAATATCTTTTGTTAAACCATAAACATTTTGCAACACATAGTTACCTAATCAAAATATATTCTTTAAAAATGTTTAATTATATGAAATTTTAATTTATATACCTCATATTGGTTTTTATATTGATGACCTAAAAGAAATTTCACACAATATATTTTTATACATTTTTAAAATAAAATTATAAGATTAAATGAGAATGTAGAATTCGTAATAAGTCTATAATGTTAACTTCATGATAAGTCTACACCTTGTAGACTTCACTCTATTAAATGTAGACTTTATAAGGGTAAAATTGTAAAATAGCATTCCATTTTTTTGTTTAGTTATAAGGGGTAAATAGACATTTCACTACCCCCTTTAGGTTGGTTTTGCATTTGTTTGAAATTGGGGTACACTTTTGCATTGGATTTGAAATTTTAGGTTATTTTTAGAAAATGTCCCATTTTAATTATAGACCTTAAACCTTAAACCCAAACCCTAAATCCAAATCCTAAACCCTAAACCTAAATTGTATATCCTAAACCTAAAATGCATACCCTAAACCCAAATCGTAAACCTTAAATCCAAACCTTATAACCCAAACCAAATCTTAAACTCTAGACCCAAACTGTATACTCTAAACCTAAATCTTAGACTGAAAATCCAAACCATAAAATCTTAAACCCAAACTCTAAGCCTAAACACTATTGAATTTGGATTTAGGGTCTAAAATTTAGGTTCAGGGTATATGGTTTAAGGTATATAGTTTAGGGTTTAAGGTTTATGGTTTTGGTTTAGAGTTTAAATTTTGAGTTTAGGATATACAATTTGGGTTTAGAGTCTAGGATTTGGGTTTAGAATTTAAAATTTAGGATCTATAGTTTAGTTACTGGCATCAACATCACTAAATTAATGTTATTCTTATTTTAAATAAATTTAATAATTTTTAATTAGTTATTTATGTGACATTTTGAATGATTTTAAAATAAGAGATTAATTTAAAGGTTCACTATAGAGTGTGAACCTAAGTTTTGTTAGAAGAAAAATATGTTAAAAAGATTCCATTTCCGATTACAGAAAGAAACAATTACATCCAGAGGCAGTTTTTAAGTTTTTATTGCATCATAAGACAGTTTCAACTCCTAGGACACTTTCTTCTAACAACTTTCGTTTCTTCTAAATAATTAGTCAATTTGTAACTAAGTATAACCTCAACCACACATCTCTCTTCCCATTCAATGGTTCATATTAGATCTGACACAGTTGACAAGATTTATATCTTTTTCATTCATAACCATTAGATTTGCCTTTTTTTTATTTCAACGGTTCAGATTCATTATTTTGCAAAAAGTCACATTCATCTCTCTATTTTGTGTTTTCTTTTTCTGTTAATGTTTGAAAATTAAAACCTCAATCATCTTTCAGACCTAGAATTGAATCTAAAAAAATAATCTTTTGGACCAAAAATTGTTATATCACCGTAAAATTACCAAGACAAAGCTTCCTCCTCCGTGAATCCCCGCTTACGTCAGCTTTCAATCGGTCACAACTTTCTTCCTTTTACCGCCATGTCTCCTCTGTTGCTTCGCCATCCCCAGCTCCTCGAGCTGCCGTGCTCTGCTCTAGATTCTAGTGAGGAGAAGGATCGATAAACTCCAAGTCGAAGTTCTCCTCCTCCACTATTGAAACCGCCATGAAGCTTCTATCCACCACAATCAAAGTTCCAAACCACCGTGAGAGCACCGTATAAGTCTTCTTCTCCACCCTTGTGCTTTGATAGTACTATGCGACCACCAGTGAATCACACAGGAGCTCATTCACGATCAAACTGTGTTCAGTTGCAATCATTAAACATGAATGATCCAACTTTCTTATTATTGCGATTTGGTCCTTTAACTTTTGATTAATCATGATTTTTTATCCCAAGCATTTACAGATACACATATTTTTTTCTCTGGTTTTGGCTCAAACATTTTAATCTTTTTAAAAAAATTCAGTCAATTTGTACACACTTTTTTGTTTTGTTTTATCTTCACAGAAAAAATTCATGAGGTAGACAATATGTAAGGAAGAGAGGCTGAACGCTTTTTTGTACATGTGGATATGTAAACCAATGTACAGTCAAGTCGTACACATCTTTTTGTACATGTGGATGTGTAAAACGATGTAAACATAGATGTCAAAAGTATCCAAGTATATGTTTGTATCAGTGTACACATTATATTGTTTAGACCGATGTACATGTCGAGCCAAGATCGTGTACACACGGACATGTCGGGCCAAGCTCGTGTACATATCCACGTGGTTACTCAATATACTCATGTACACGAACATGATGTACATATAAAAAAATGCAACATGGAGTTTGTTTACTTTATCCGAAAGAATCAAATTTAATACGAATATGATGTACATCTCTAACTCTATCCAAAATACCTTTGTATATATGTACACCAAAATTATCAAATTTTGTATATGTGTACACTAAAACAATTACAACACGTGTACACATGTACACAAATATAACAAAGTTAATGTATAAAAACAATACCAACAATAGTAGCAATAAAACTAACATTATTCACGAACATGAAAATCAATTTGTTCACGTAAACCACACATCCATAATCCATGTACCAATGAACCAATATACATTTTATTATTGTAAAATCTTGTACATATGTATCATTGTAGTTATAAATGTTTGTGTACACCATGATATGTACATATAGGTATTCAAGAATCATTGTACGTAGGGATCACGCTAAAATAATATTAGTGAATACTGTCAAATGTAATGAAGATATTATGTCTATCATTAAGTATATTTTTTTCAGTTTCAGCTTAAAATAACCATTTGGTAATTTCAACTAAAATAATCATTTTCCAAAAAAATAGGTTTATGGTTAATTAACAAAATAATATTTATGGTTTATGACCAAAAATACAATATATGGTTTTGATTTTTTTTCACAATGTTTACATGCGACTCATTACCAAATTCACTAGTGTACATTTGAAATATTGTACACGTGGATAAAGAAATTATGTGTACTCAGTGTCATATACATATGACATTTATAAGAATATTATTAGAAACAACATACGTAAGAAATTATTTTAAGATATTTATCATCAAATTTACCTTATTTTAATCATTTTAAGATGCATATATATATATATGTGTGTATATATATATCACATTTGGAAGTATGGACCAAATAAAAAGAATTTATTTGAAAATCATAAATATCTATGGTAGAAACAAAACAAAACAAAACGACAAGGACCAAATATTGTAAAATCAAAATATTTTTTTGGTATGCATTGCACTGAGACAATTTCGTGGATAAAATTGAAAACATTAGAAACTTAAGACAAATTGGAGAAGAAACAAGAGTTGGAGGACCATATAGGTAAATAATCTAAAGTTCACCATTGTTGTTCCAGAGAAGTTTTATCTTCCATCTGCGACCAAATCCGGTGGTGCTCTCTTAGATCTGCGACTACGGTGAGGAAAAGACGACTTGAGTTTAACACAGATCACTGTAGAGGTTTGACGGACTTGATCTGCATTTTGAGGTCACCGACTGCTTCTTTGCGAGGATACGTTACGGATCAAAACCATCTATCATTTCTGTTTTTATTAAATAGTTACACATTATCTCCACGATTACAAAATAATAGGGAAGAAGATAAAATAATGAATGAGTCCATTTAGTTATATCAGAATTATACTTTAGTTAGAAAAGTAGAGAATAAGTTAAAAGAATAATATATAGTTAGAAAAAAGTGTCTAAGGAGTGATAATTATTTAGAGTGTAAAAAAAAACTTAAAACTGCAATAGAGTGAAAATAACTCTTACAGAAACAAAGGAAAATGTTATTACACATTTACAATTGAGAATAAATAAATAACATATACATAATTGGAGGTCACTTCTGGAAATGACGTCCTGTCATTATTCTTGCCTCTCTCTCTCCCAGTGAACAATACATTTGAGTGCTGCTAACATCAACGCAAAAAGTATAGCCACGTCAGCAAAATGAGCCAGTCACGTCATTTCCACAAGTCTCTCTCCGCACCAGCTCCAATATATATTGGAATGAACCCACCTTAAAACCTTCTCATTATACTGCATGTGCAGCGACCCGACCCGACCTAACCCCGCCTTCACTTTTCACCCGTTTCTTCTGTGTCTCGCCGCCTTGAAAGAAAGTAAAGCCCAACAACTTATTTCTTTGCCGTAGTTTTGTACCGATGACG